TAACTCCCACGCTCTTGGGAGGGGGGAGGTGTGATTTCCCATGCTCTGACCAGCCAAGGTGTTGTCTCACCCCCCTGGCATCTTTGTCATTAAATATGCCAGTCAAATACTTCAAACATTGAACTGCTGACGTCTAAAAACGAACTCTATGAAAAACTACTCTGGATTCAATTAACAACACACGGATACATTACAAGGCAGCTTCACATTAACGTAGTGCGTCGTTGCAATAACAGTCTTGGCTTCAACGATTTCTGCACTCACGCCTCCCGTCAGCTTGATGTGTCTATGTCTGCACAAATGTCCTTTTACACGATTTGGTGGCTCGTTGTGGGCGTGTGCTGATCCGTGGGTGTGGCAGTGTTACACAGCTTCTCAACAGAAGTGAGTTTGAAGTCCTGGTTCCTTGTCCTGGTTCCTTGTTCTGGTTCCTTCCTGGTTCCTTGCTCTGTAACAACAGTAAAGACAAAAATGCAATGATTACATGCGAGATTATTAAGTTAATGAGCAACCCGTTAGGAGGCATTATAACAGATCATTTCAGTCAACACATTTATGGATATTTCTTATAATTCACATTCCTTATTTCCGATTCCAACTATAACAGTTCAGACAGACCAAATTAATTTGATAAAACCATAAAATAGGAAATTTTGATAAACAACAAAAAACTCCCTTTCTCCCTTTCTCCCTTTCTCGTCACACAACACATGCATGAACGCACGTATGCATACTTTCACACACGCACACATATATATGTATACATCTGATCCCTATCGGTATCCCTCTCTCTCATACTCTCTCACTACATGCTGCTCCTTACAACATGCCCACAAGACACGCTTTTTCCTAAGATATGGACAGGAACTACTCACTGTGTATTGCTAGTCTAAATGATAAGCGTGCATGGAGTGAATGGGGGAAAAGACAACTTGCTCCAATCCTAGCCTCACAACTCAACACACTGGCACCAATTATCCACCCTCTATCTGAAAACAGATACCTTCAAAGTGGCAGAACATGTATAGAGTTGGTTGAAATTGGTGAAAAACGTTTGGTTCTGCCAACCAGATAACGTCTTACATTGATCACTGAATTTGATACAAACACGTTTATATAGATCTATATATTGCAATTCACTGAATTATTTTTGCTTGTGCTGTAGTATCTAAAAAAACAAGTCTTCTCCATCTTCCTTGGGTCGCTAGCAGATATTTAGTTGGAGAAAGATGTTGGTGTTATTTACCTTCTTCGATGCACAGATTATCTAGCAGAGCAGCACTCCTTTAGCTATGTTTGTTCTTCCCTCCAATTAGGTCAATGCTGTGTTCAGTCACTTGCACATCTCCACTACATTAGACATCTTCACCGTAACCCTGGCACGGGAGGCTAAACAGGTGCTATGCCTTGCCCAAGGACACCCTGTAGCTAAGGGTGGCAGAGGAAGCTTAGGGTTGGAGGCTAAGCATGATGTTGCATGCAACTAGCTGGTATTAGAACTGAGCAATACTCTTCATTCTTCCCGACTGGTGATGAAATTCTGCCCATTGAGGTTCCCACTCGAGAGACGATGTTCCGGATTAGTGACATTTCAAGCCGTGTAGTGAGTCGATAGATAGATCTGCCTCCATATGATTTTAGCTGGACAATGGCGTACATCGTCTTCTGAGATATGTGGACGCTATAGCAGTTTCCACCTGATCATTTGATATCAGATTCAGACAAGCTAACTTGAGATTCCCATGGCTGACATATGAAGACATATAAACAGCAACTGCAAATAATACAAATTATTAAGATAAGTATATGGAAAATTCCACAAAAAATGTTCACTCAAGTAAAAACATTAATTGCCTAGTTTCTTATAGATTGCTTTAAAAAAAATTAAGTCATACTGACTTTCATCATAACGCAGATGCTGAGGCTCACTGATAACACATTTAAAAAAAATCGAGGTACACATCTTTGACATGCTATTTTAGGAATATAAATTAGCCAATCATGTAGTAGTATAGTACCATATCTGAGGTTAGTAAGTAGTTCAAAAAATTCACTTGCATTGCATGTCATATGAATCAGACTCCTGTTTTCTTACTATACATGAAAGCATAATTCATTCAGAAGAAAGTATGATAGCTTGAACAAAGTAAACAAACTGTCATGTCTGTTACGCAGAAAGTGTCATGACCGTTACACACCATTTTTTAATGAAAGATGGTTGCCTAAATACATTTACAGTTGTGTTCCTGGTGTAGTGGGTTATTCAAAGATTTGAATTAGACAAAAACTGGAAAGATATAGCCATGAAGCTCACAGAGTTTTCATGTGTACAGTACAGTGATAACCCTTGTCAATTTTCTGTCATGTCCATCATGGGAAATAAAATGTCCAATCTCTGAGCAACTGTTCAGTGAAATATCACATAATTTGTCATGTACATCCGTGACTGTCGAATGTTACCGATTCACAAAATATCAGTGGCGTAGTTACGGGGGGGGGGGGGCAAAGGGGGCCATTGCCCCCCTGTTAATCCGAAAATAAAATATAAAAAAAATAAGAATTGTTCTACTAAAAAGAGAATTGCCATAGTCAGAATAAAGGCTGTGTACATGTACTCAAAAGTGCCTCAAATACCATCTCCTGCAATCTACATTTTCAAAATGTTCAAGCCACTGAACAGTTACGTATTTTGGGAGCAGAGAACAACGAACAAAAATGTCGCTTTTTTGCATGGTGCCCAAAACAAAGATTGCAGAGCTGAGAGGTGGGGGAGCGTAGGGTGTGGAGAGGGAGGCGGAGGAACCATTAAAATATTAAGTCATCCACTATTTTGCGCAGTTCGCTGTTTTTGCCCCCCCCTGTTAAAAATCCTGGCTACGCCACTGCAAAATATAACAAGATTTCATTCTTCAAATTTGATCTTACTGTGTAGTTAATGTTAAGAAAACTGTACGACTGTCATGTCCGTTATGCTGGAATTGCCCATATATTCCATACAGTACTTTCAAGACAAACACATGTTAAACTAGACAAAGTGCACTCACGGAGTGCATACCTCCGCCAACGACATACGCCATACGACTCACGAACACACGAATAACCCACGATATACGCCAGCGTACTGACATGTACACGCTCCCATGTAACATGTATGTGTTACGAGCTGGCTCGCTGGGCTCGCTGACTCGCTGGCTCGCTGGGTGATATTGATCGACCGCCGCGCTAATATCGATCGTGCAAACACACGAACACACTAACACACGAGAGCGAAAACATAACCTCCTCCAACTCCGTTGGGCGGAGGTAATTATACATTGCAACTGACTGCATTATTTGTACCAGATTCATTCAACTTAAGAAAAACATTACCTATTATCAGAGATTTTTCTCTGAGAGTTCCTTTTCCACGCTTCCTTGTTTTTGGGACACCTGGCATTACTTTACTGGAGAAAGATGCTGGTGTTCTGGGCTTTCTGGTTATGAATTATCTTCTATATGGCAGTAATTCTTTGACTATGTCTTGCTCTCCTTCTCACCAGTGTTGTATTTATTATGTGTAATTAGGTGTTGAATTACTTGAACAAAAATATCATCTTAGCTCCGACTGCAGCGAACAAGTCCCAGCACACCCCAATATGTGTGCCCATCGCTGCAAGATGTCTACCAAGATGTCTCTCCAGTTGTTTTCCTTATAGTAGCACCCTTCACATGTGAGATCGTTTGTACATGGCGCAGCCTGTAAATCATAGAAGTGGATTAGCAAGGAACATAGCTTATCGTTCCTACTTATACATGCACATGCCGCCGCCCATTATCGCTGCTTCCCTCTCATACTCTCACCTTTCTCTCCTTCATACCCATGCTCCCTGTTCTCTAACTTACTCTCTTGTTTTTCTGTCTCAATCTCTGCTATCTCTCTTTCATCTATTTCCTGTGCTCCATCGCCCACTGTATTTCTCTCTTGGTCTCTTTTGACTCTCGCTCTCTCTCTCTCTCTTTCTGTATTTGTCTTATGCCTTCTCTTCTCTCTCAACTTTAGGTGTCCACACATAATGTGTGTAGTTGTTGGTCGATGAAAAAGTGTCAGTTGTTATTTTACATAACTTAAAACGCTAATTTCCTTAAAACTTAAATCTAGCCTGGTAGCCATTGCATGATTGGCATTGCCTGACCAAGTGTAGTAACTAGTAATGCTAACTTTATCATACTATTCATAGTGCTGTGGAGGAAGCTTACCTCGTAACTATGGAATGTTTAAAGTCTCTCCACTTTTCATACCGAGTATCATACAGCTAGAATTTGGTAGAAACAATGCTTGTATCGTCACTCAAATATCACAAAATACACGCCATTTTAGAAATTACCGAAAGCGCCATCTCCTGGTTTTTTATATATGAACTATATATGCATTTTTCAGCCCAAACTTTTTCACCCTCCACAAAGCACAAAATCTGGATATACGGCTATAATACGCGTTTTTACAGTCACACAAACACATATACACACATACGAACGGACGCGTACGCGCCCTCTTTCTTTCCTCCTACCCTCTCACTCCCTTTCCCTCGGTATCCCCCTCCCCCTCTCGCGGATAGTATCAGGAGTATATCAATAGATTCTATTGATAGACTCCTGATAGTATCGCGACTATCGCCCACGGCATCAAGTGCACGGTGAAAAGTTAGCCAGGCAAATGGCTGGTTTTCAGCCTCAACTTTTTCACGCCCCAAAGCACAAAATATGATTATACGGCTATAATACGCGTTTTTATAGTCACACAAACACGCATACACACATACTAACGGATGCGCACACGCGGGTATGGTCGCACGCACGCGTGCGCGTGTATTATATAAGCGTAAATTCACATTTTGTGCCTCGAGGGTTGAAAAAGTTTCGGCTGAAATACGGCCATTTACCTGCAAAAGTTTTTCCATGCTTGACTGGTCGTGGGCGATACCATCCGCGAGCGAAGAGTAAGGAAGTAGCAGAACGGAGAGAAACGAGTATATATTATATGTATGTATATACATCGCGCACAAGGAAGAGAGCAAAAGAGAGGGAGTGCGTGAGCGAGAAGGCGAGAGAAGTAACTATAGAAACTAATTATATATAATGTATTATGCACATCGATTTATATAATTTCCTACTTCAAATAGCCGTGACCTGTCTCTCTCACCTCTCTTTCTCTCTCTCTTCTCTCACCCTCTCTTCTCTCTCAGCCCCCCTCCAATTCCAACAGAATTTTTCAACATATAGCCAATGAGAGAGAGAGAGAGAGAAAGCAAGAGAGAGGGAGAGGGACAGCTAGACAGATATATAGAGAGAAAGAGAGCGAAAGAAAGAGAGAGGAAGAGGGGGAAGGAAGAGATGAGAAGGCGAGAGAGAAATAGAGAGGAGAGAGAGAGAATGAGAGAGAGAGAGAGAGAGAGAGAGAGAGAGAGAGAGAGTAGAGGAGAGAGAGAGAGAGAGAGAGACGATGAGAGAGAGAGAGAGACGAGAGAGAGAGAGAGAGAGAGAAGAGAGAGAAAGAGAGAGAGAGAAGATGATGAGAGGAGAAGAGAGAGAGAGAGAGAGGAGAAGAGAGAGAGAGAGAGAGAGAGGAGAGAGTAAGAGAGAGAGCAGAGAAGAGAGAGAGAGAGCAGAGAGAAGAGAGAAAGAGAGAGAGAAGACGAGAAGGAGAGGGGAGAATACATAGGGGAGAGGGACAGCTAGAGAAGATGAGATTCGATTAGATAGAAGGTGGGGAAGAGAGAAAAGAAGAGGAGGAGAGAGGGGAGAGTGGAGGTGAGAGGTGAGGAGAGGGAGGGGATAAAGTGGCGGGGAGATAGACAACAGAGACAGAGACAGAGAGAGAGGAGAGAGAGAGAGAGAGAGTAGAGAGAGAGAAGAGAGAGAGAGAGAGAGAGGAGAGAGAGGAGGAGGACGCAGAGGGATGAGGGAGGGCGAGGTGAAGGCGAAGGAGAGGGGGGTCTGGCGCTAAGCTTTGAACGCTGCTCTGATCAGTCCGACTGGATGTGAACTTGTACTTCTAAGTTCGTAGTCGACAGTATATGGTATTAAGATTAAACTGGCATATACAGGACCCGACACAATGTAGAGACATCCGCCCCGGGGCAGGACTGTTCAGTAACGCAAAAGCAGGAGTAGAAGAAAGTAAATTATTATCTAAGTGTGACCTCAGTACAGATAATAAAAAATAGCTGCCAGTTTTTAAAACATGCATATCACTACAAATTTACAAAAAGATGGTCCATGTGTGCAATCTTGTAGATCTTCAGAGCATTTATAGTAAAACTTGATACCAGATTAATGTGTGTGCGCATTATAACACACACGCATGCGCATGCACGCACGCACTCTCTCTTACACACACACACACACACGCGCGCGCGCGCGCACCCGCACACGCACGCACACACGCACACACGCACACACACACACACACACACACGCACACACACACGCACACACATCAGCACAACCCTATATGTTCACATACACCAAATCTTCGCTAGCTCGTGTATCTCCCCCAAAGAACCCAGAAATCGTTATTTGGTGAAGATTAGAAGCCATGTTCTACACACTATGAACACATCTATACAATATTGTACATATTATACTGTTGATACTTTTATACAATTGCATAGACAAGATCATGACAAATTCTAAGCATTATGCTATAGCTTCATGCATAGCACAAAGGGTACTTTCTCACGCGTATCAGTCTATATCAACTCGTGACCAGAGATGCAATTCACAGTGCCAATATCAATGTTCAATCGAAATTATCTATTGTTATGACATTATCGGACAGGGATATTGCTCGAGTAATTTTTCCGTTATTCATGTTTCAACTTGAGTACGTACCCAGCTTGACAATTTATTCAAATTATTTTTATTTCTATCCACTTTACAAACGCCACGATGACAACTAAGGTGACCTCGCCCAATCCAAACCAGAACCATGCCAGCAACCACACACCTAGTAAAGGCAATTAAATCACTGCATGCATTCTTATAAAACGAAAATAAAGACCATGACAAAGTCTTAAACGGTATTATTTTGTTATCTTATACGGATCAATTTGTTGGTTTGGCTTAACTGGCACCTATTTCTGATTCCAGGTACCATCACTGCAAAAGCAGCAGAGTATTGCATAGACACTCACACTTACAGAGCCACAATGCCTGTAAATATATATATTTGTGTTTGTAGATGATATTTGTCTGTCAGGAAAGCATTCAACAGACCACTACATTCGACATATGTGACAAAAGCACCAGCTCCAGTTACATAGATGCATAAGAAATGTTTCTAATGGGCATGATTACGCCATCGTAAAAAAACAAAGATCAAGAAAGTCGGAGAAACGTTCAGTCGAGTAGTATACGTATACCTCGTTTCTCAAACGTAGAAAACTTGTAATAAAGGCCACATTCAAGAACATACAACCTCTATCTATCATAATACTATACATTCAAAATATAATTGTATAT